ATAGCATTAATAACTGTATCGGGCCAGTACTGGCCAAGGTCTGTTCCTGATCCCCAATCCAAATCCGTGCCGGTATTGGGCCGTTGGAAAGAAAGACCCCGGCGCAAACCCGTTTTGCGGATCTGCACCAAATTCTATCCAATGTCTGGCCCAGATCTGCCACAGTTACCTTTTGCTGTCTGGGGTGTGTCTTACCTACAGCTCCTTGGCTTTTTCGCTGCAAACTTTTCTGAAAATAAATCTGTCTTGTAGCCGATCGTACACGTAATAAAATTCTTGTCCGTGCTGCTCCTTAATTATATAATTTGTGCGAGCCATATTTGATGTAATACTGATCAGTTTGGGGAAAAAAAACACACATATGGGTAGCAGGAACGAGAACGAGTGTGTCTGTGAGTGTGGGCAGGGCGATTGGGCATCTGGTGCGTTTCGATGTTATTCACTTGTGTATTAGGATGAATTTCCGAACGACTACATTGCCTAGAATTTATCCTTGTCTTCCTGTTACTGTCATACATATGAGGTGATTGATTGATTGATTTTGATCGTGTGTGGACTAATCATCCCGAGATTCAAATACGTCCTCCATGATTCACCTATAATATTATTGTGTCAAGATTAGACTGCAAAAGCATGTTATTTTTTCTCTCCTCTGATCACTTATATAACTTGTTTTTTTTTATAAATGACTGGTTTCAGAGTATTCTTATCTTATTCGAAAGAATCCTTGTTCTGGTGCTTACCCTGTTCAAGGACACTTACCATGTTTTTCTGGATTTTGAGGGGCTTTCAGAGGACAGGGAAAGGTGTTGCTCAATTTGTTTTTCACACCACTGGTCAGCGTATGAGACACCTGCCTTGTCTTCAAAGAGAAGAGAAAGCACTGCTCATTACTATTTTTGATTGAAGCTGTGCCTAGCGGCAGGAAGAGGGGAAAGCATTGCACAAGGATACTTATCTAACTATCTTTGTTTGAAACTGCACCTAGCGGTCAGTGTGTGTAGGACGCTCACCCCATCCTCACGAGGAGGGGGGACGCATTGACTATAGAAACTTGTCTTATCACTTCTGATTGAAGCTGCAAACTGCACTTTCTTGGGACTCACGTGTTGGTCTCCTGCCAGGACTGAAAAGGGCTCCCCGGTCTAAAAGTGAAGGTGCGTGATGATGGTACCTCCGAGTGTGAATAGCTTTGTAGTGTCAATTTTTTTATTCAATCAATTATCACAATAACCATAATATCAAGTTGCACTTTCTATATATGCATGTTTCAATTGTCACTTTTTATACATGCCTATAATCTCTTGTATCGGCAGTTTTATTATTGTTAATGATATATAATATAGTTGGATATCACTTGTGATATGGGATTATTTGCCTTTGATCCAAAAATGTGGCTTTGATTTTAATGCAAGGTTATTTTTTATTACTTGTAATAAAGCGTTTTTAGTAGTGAACCTAAGTGTGCCTGTTTGCTCCTTCGAAAGCCCTATATCCCCCGTCACAACATCTTAAAACAACTTGTAATCTGTAACGCCAATCAAACATTTCAGAACACCTTATATTTCATAATTTTTTAAACAACAAGTGATGAGCTCACTTGTAAATAACCTAAGATGTTTTTGGAAGTGCTGTTAGCTGACCTTAATTAACCTCATTAAGGTGATTTAGGATGAAATGTAAAAAAGGTCAAGGTCACAGAGCCAGCTAGGGCCATCATCTATGGACTCTCAGCAGTGTTGGGGCAAACTTTGACTCTAATCAATAAAATGGGGTTATTCACCTGCAATCACTGTAAAAAAAAAAGAGATGAATTTCGATAGTGTTCTTTTAAAGGGTGGTGTTTCTCATTTATTTACTATTTTTTCATTACTAACTACCTTTTGTATATTGTACTGTGCGTAAACATGGACTGTGACATTAAAACATAAGAGGGACTTACACTGCATCTCTGTCAATACAGATGTCAAATTACAATGACTTTACACAGCGCTTTAGAAATACAGTTTTTATTAGATTGATACATGGGATGAGTTAATGATGATATAGTCATCACAGTATTTTATTAGAAAGACTGAGGAAGGCCATTTAGCAACATATATGAGCAAGTAAATACTGGTGGTAAGTCTGGTTTTGGTCTGTGCAGAACTTCTTTAGGTCTTTGTTTCTGTATACTGACATCATGGAGTTGAACTACAAATGTTCTGCTCATTCTCTGTTAAAAAATGTATTTCATCTGCAAATAACCATTTCTGAATTGTACATTTTGTCCATTACTTTGGAGGAAAACACACAGAATTTATCTCAGGCTTAGAAAGCCACCAGCAGAACAGTCACGCCGAAAGCAAAAGAAACCGCCTGGATGGACATGGGTCCTAAAATCAGTGAGTTGTTGCATGTTATCCAGTTAGGCTTTCCACGGTCCGTCATTCTGTTATCAGCGTACTTTTACACCATGTGAAGGAATGGCTTTGGCACATACATCCTCTAGTTGCTTGGGGAAGCCAAGAGATCCTGAAGGTTATTTCGGGCACAGACAGCTGCTACCACTAGGGCGGCGCCACTGAGAGCGAGCAGCAACGGCAGCCTCGAAGAGGGGGGCTCTGGCACGGCCCGGGTTTTCATCGGCTGGGCCACCCGCTCCCACTGCGTGAGAATGGCCTGCCGGGCCCCTGCCCACTGACCCGGCCCATATAGCCGGTACTGGTACGGGGTACAGGGTCCCAGCAGGACGCTGAGGCCGAGGTGAGGGTCCCGCAGCAGCAGCCGGAGGAGCTTGGGCCGTACCCCAAACTGCCCGGCCAGGTCGTCCAGATAGGGGATGTAGTCCAGCTGGAGAGAAGCAACTTTGGGACAAGGATGTCTGGGAAACAGGCAAGAAAATACAATTATGACACCTCTGAACTCAATTCGCAGTAAATGAACAACTTGGCTTTAATCCAGTTTCCAGTGCTGATTACCCCTTAATGTATCTTTTCCTCTCTTTTTCAATATCTTTCAGCATTTTTTCCTTCGGTGGGAGTTGGATGAATCCTATGAAGAAAAATAAATAACTACTGACTAGAATTGGAGTCGTTCACTCATTTTATGCATTGAACTGGTCTTCATCAGACCCCAAACTATTACTTCTTTTATGGTCTAAAACAGGGTTATTCAACTCACGGTCCTCGAGGTCCGAGCACTGCTGGTTTTCCAGCCTTCCTTTACCTGTCAGTCAGGTGTGTAGCCTCTGACCAATCAGAATCAGTAATTATTAAACAACTACCTGGGAGAACTGAAAAAACGGCCTGAATTTGGAATTGAGGTCCAGAGTTGAAGAACCCTGGTCTAAAAGAAGTAATAGTGTTCCTATTAATATTACAGATTTCTTGTTTGCTGAATTTACAGTTTCAGCGGCTTAAGAAGCTCTTCCCACCTAGAAAACGTGTGGAAACATTCTCTGCCTTGCACCTCCCTAGGGACGTGTTACTGCATTTATAGACTGAAACATTCATTTGTATTAGTAAACTCAATGTTACATAAACTTCTCAAGGTTATAACTGGTGTATTGGGATTACCTGTGATGACTCGCGTGACCCATCGAGCCTGCATCTCCACCGCAGGCATAATGGAACCTATTACTTGAAACACTCCCAAAACGGCCAAGGTGGGGCACTCAATCCATGGTGGGAACACGTGTTTGTACAAGGTTAGCTCATGTCCAGGGCCAGGGAAGATGGAGCTGGGGAGGAAGGGGAAGGAGTAGTTGTACCCTGTGCAGAACACCACAGCATCAACTTGGGCCTCTGTTGTTCCATCCTCAAAGACCACGGTAGAACCCCGGAATTCCTGAATGTTGGGCTTCATGACCAGAAGGCCAGTAAGGATGCGGACAGGAAGCTCATCGTTGATTAGAGGTCTGTAGTCCATGATCCTGCAGGAAGGTACTCAATTATGTAATAGGTCAACTAAGATCGGCCAGGGCAGTCGCCGTAACTCTGGTTTAGGATCTCACCTGTGTCTGGGCATGAGGCCGTATAACTGGTGGTCATACTTCTGGTTCAAACTCCTCTCGATGGCCCAGCTGAGCAGACGGCGAGGCAGCACTGCAGTCAGTAGGGCTACCGGACGGGTGATTACACTCATGTCCACCGGGAGCCCCCGGCTGGATGTGCGCCCCATGACCCAAGTCCCCTGCCGAGTACTGAGCAATGTCTGGGAGGAAAGCATTTCGACCCCAATGAGCCACTAACAGAGTACATGGCCACCAGAGAACTGGAGGGTCAATCCCAGGCGTAGATTGAGATTTAAGACCAATGTGAAGCAGACAAGCAACATAACAGATGTGTGGATCCCAGCTGGCTTGTAACCCTGGGAGAGCCTCACCTGCTTGGCAGCTCTGCTGATCTCAACAGCAATGTCTCCTCCTGAGTTTCCAATCCCCACCACTACAACCTTTTTTCCTTGGTAAGGGTCTGGGTCCTTGTATTCCCAGCTGTGGCAGTATTGGCCCCTGAAGGTCTCAAATCCTTTAAAAGTATCATCATCTCTTAAACACCTTTATTGTAGTGGCTTATCTGACAGATTGCAGTGATTACAGGATTCTTTGGATTACAGAAAGGGCAGAGATAAGTGTCGACACCAGTCGATTTCTGGACATACACTCAGAACTGGCAATTTACATACATCAATCTGCTGAAAACACATGCTTTCTGCCCAGGGGAGGAAACCTCACTGCTTACAGGAAACCCACATGAAGACAGAGAGAATCATACCCACAGAAAATCAAACCCACAAAACTGCAGGTATGACTCCACTGCACCACCCACTGGATCAAGGTGCAGTCCTTAAAAGAAACACTTTCCAAATTTTTTTTCCTAAGAATGCATTTTCATCCCTTTCACCACCTCTGCAGCAACACTGCATATGAAACGGAAACTACCTTTGACCAAAGAAACTAAAAACTGTTGTGATAAACTGCTTTGCAAGAGAATGAGTCTGTATTGTCAAAATCATGGATAACTATTATTAGTTCTGCAGGGACAAAAAAATATTTAACTGACTGCAGATGACAAATTACATGAAGAAGTGACGTTCTCTGCTCTTGTGATATTTCAGTCACCTTCTGAACCAAGTGGCCACACACCTGGGAAGTCTTTCAGTGGAGTCACTGGGGAGGTGTACTGGCCTGAACACACCAGAACCGCATCAAAGATCTGCTGCTCCCGATGACCATCTCTGCTCTCTGTGACAACCTCCCACTGGCCTGAGCTTGAGAAGTCAGGCCTCTGCTTCACACTGAGGACAGTGGTCTGAAAATAAAGTCACAATCAATTACGCCCATTAATGCTCCTTCACGGCAAAGTGTCTCACATAGCGGGCTACCCTATCCAGAAAATTTGCAGCATTTACACTTATTTAGTAGATGGTTTTATACAAAACAATGTACAGTTGACAAAACAGGGTCAGACAGTTCTGGGAATAGTAGGGGTTAACAATGGTGACATCACTTTGTCAGCCCTGGGATTTGAAACAATCACCTTCCACTCATAAGCATAGCATGCTAACCCACTGAGCCAGACACCTACTAGGAGAATGTGGGCATGCTAACCAAGATGGGTACTGGAACACCACTGGGAAAATTCCATGTTTTATTTCGTGGTACACTGGTGGGATTAAGGAAAGATGGTCCTTATTCTGAAGGATATTTCTAAGGAAATACATTTTAGGTGTAACTCAATACTGTTTTTGTTACAGAGTTTACGTCAGTGTTTCACAACCCAGTACTCTGGGACCCCCAAACAATCCACATTTTTGCTCCCTCCCAACCAATTAAAAACACTGAATACCTGGTACAGGTATGTTGGGAGCTCGGAAGGAGCAAAAGTGTGGGTTCGGAGGAACTGAAGTGAGAAACAGGGTTACAAAATATAGTTTAGACTCATCCAGAAAGTATGTGAGCATATAGACAAACACTGACTTCTGCAGGTAATGGTTTGCATGGACTATGGGCTCCGGCGTTAATGAAGTGATCACCTGGAACCGGATATGCCGAAGGAGGTCAAAATGAGTGGCATACAGACGCAAATACTGCAGCAGCTGCGAGTTGTGCATGTAGCTGGGGAAGTGGGCTGGCATGGGGAAGTCGCTGAAGCACATCATCTCCTTGGAGGTGTTGACCACAAGGGAGCGGTACGTGCTAGAACGCCCTGGCTCCGGATTCTCCTGAGGAATACAGGGTTAGACTGATCATATAAATATTCTGATCTGCTGTCATTTTAAATCACAGCCTGGCCTGCATCTCATACGAAAATTTCTGGAAGCTGGCAGAACTTGCCCTGAACCTCCACAAGCCCCCGATGTCATTGCTGCTCTCGAAGCAGACCGGCTCCAGTCCCTCCTCCAGGCAGCACTTGACACAAACCAGTCCGGAGCTTCCCGCTCCGACCACAGCAACGCGGCGAACCATGACCTGCACATAAGAGATTTTACTAAAAGCAGCCCCTGTGTCTTGCGATGAGATTTTGACACGAAGTGGCAATGCTGATGAAATTCTATCATGTTGTCTCTAAAGGCATTGCGTTTGCGTTTCAATCATGACGAAAAATTCATCTTGAAATTACAATAACTAACTTCAAATGCTTATTTGTTTAAATACCAAATAACGATTGCAAATATATTAAATAACACAAAAAACATCACATTAATTAAAAACATATCGTGATTTTCTTTTTTCATTCCCGTCACCCATTGGTGAATTCTGGCTCGCATCCGGACCGCGATATATTCCATTATTTATATTATAATCGTGTTTTCATATTTTTATGCTATATTATAACACTTTAAATTAATTATTTAAACGAATGCCCTTTCCGTATATGAAATATTCTGGATATGCTCTACAGGTAGGCTACTTGAAATCTTGTTTTCAACAGTTTGCCCAACCCATTATAAAATATGTCGTCTTGTTGACGCTAACATTATAATCCCTTTTAAATTAATGACGTGATCTGTCCGTTCTTGTCGTACTGTTATGTATCAAGGATGTGCAGTAAAATCACACACAAGCCTCCAAAGCACGTAGCCATATCTCGCTTCCACATTATAAACAGACTCAAGATACGCAGCCAGATCTGCTCCTCAGACGAGCGCAGATAAGTAGGGATTCATTCCTAAAAAACTAACGTCGATAAAGCTGTTTTGTAGAAAATAGCCGAGTAAACAAACAAAAAAAAAACCATATTTACTAACCTTTTTGTGAATGGGCGTTTTCCGATCGCGGTTGCATAGGGGCGCGGTGCTCCCTAAGAAATCAGCCGTCTCCTGTGATCCAGACGCCAGGGCTCGGCCACGAACTTTGCTCTTTGCTCTGCTATTTAAGTTTTCACTTGAAGTTGTTTTTCTGTTTAGTTGAAAAGATAAATGTGCATGGGAGGCCCGTAGCCAGCACAGGGCCCCGCTGTATATTTTTCAGCCAGATTTGGGGGGGGCGGTTTGGTTCGCAGTTAGGGAGGATTTCTAATTAGTTTTTTTTCTTCTCATGCCGTTCTTACAGTAATTACATTAAACCAAAACAACTGGAAGAGGCTCTTTTCTCCTTTCATCCACTGTCTACCCTCAGCGGAGAGCCAGCAGTCATTGCCATGCAACACTGACACCAATGGTACTACTTACAAATCGATCAAGAAAATATCAAAGTTCTATGCTTTAGTGCTGGTATTGTTATCAATAACATCTGTGGATGAATGGATTTTATATATATATATATATATATATATATATATATATATATATATATATACACATACACACACACACACACACACACACACACACATATCTTAAAATTATTATTTTTTATTTTTGAGGAAATGGAGGGTGTGAAATATAACACTCCCACAAACACATAACACTTCAAGGAAGAGACAAGGAGTGATTACATTTATTTTTGAAAAAAGAACATTAGAATCACAATACATTGTCCTCTTGGCACATCTACCAAGTAAAATGAACAGTCCTTTCTGCTACTAAGTAAAATACACTGACAATTCTAGTTACAAATACAGTTTGTGTCAAAGTAAAAGACAAGCAATGGTCACTGACTAAATGGACTGTCTGTAGCTGGTGAATTCTGTTTTCAGCACGTACTGAAATATCCTCTCTTCCTGGCAAACCATCGTACTCGCTTCCCTCTTTAAACAGTGAACTTTTATCTTACAGGCCAAACCGTAACTCCAGTTTGTAGTGAATGTTCTATATGTACAGTCTTCCAGAACCTGGATCAGTTTAAGGTGTCCGGGCACCTCTGCAGACTCCTGATTTCACTAACCGGAAAACCCTAATTTCAGATTTAATCTGATTGCAATATTATTTAGGATTAACAGTTGTTTTAGAGTACAGGAAGATTCAGATCTAAAAATTAAATGGATTTCAAGTAATTCAAAGCAAGAAAACCTTCAAGTTTACAAATCGGGTTAGTTTTTTTTTTTTAAAGTCATATAAGATATCAATGGTCAAAATGTAATCACAGCATTGTGCAATTACCCCAAATTCCACAGAGACTATAACAGCTCTTAGACCTTTATAAGGTGTAACACCCTAAAGTGCCAGAAACAGGTGGTTTGTGAGAGCTTGCCAGTGTCTGTCAGACAGAATAGTTACACATGAAGCTTTCCCAGACCGACACCCCTCTCCCTCTGCCTCGACACATCACTGATGGGCAGTTCAGCCCACAGCACACATTCATTTTGATTTTATTCTGGAGATTGACTCTCCAGTACAAGTTTATCAAGCAGGGTTTACATTTCCATATCATATAAAACTATAAAATACACTAAATGTACCCTCTTATAATTCACAAACACAGCAACAACAGAATATGAGTACAGTGTGCAAGTTATGCACACAGCACCGTGGTCAGCACTGTAGTCCTTAAAATGACACATCCTCCACGCAGACTTGCAAAAGCTGCAATGGACTGACACATCACCCACGCACACATGCAGGGCTGCTCCCATACTGAAATCAGAGGAGACGCTTGTAAAAGACTCGGCTGAACGGGAACCGACTGGCTGCAGTGCGGCAAACCATGTGCACAGCCTTTGTTTGGTCCTCGTTCTACAGGAAAGGCGACAGTTGAAAATCCAGATACCATGAAATTGAGCTTGATGAATACATGCAGTAGCCCGGATGGGCCCAGTGAAGTCAGTATATCCACCTACTCCTCTAAACAGAAAAAAAAAACAAAACATACAGGCCAGTACCCCCACCTTCCACTGTCACAAACCAGCCTTCAGAACAAGGAAAAGTAGCTGCTAACAGAGGTCACCGTGAATCAAAATAGCGACTCGCTTTAAATCACAATAAAACACAGCAAGCTAGACGGCGACCTGGTTATTCCTCAGGGCAGAGACTGTCATAATAAGTTACTATTTACACATAATAAACAAGAAAGAAACAAGGGCACACCAAAATAATCTCAAATACAAGTGACTACAAGACACTTCACAGTGCGTGAGGAATGTTGTAAAGCAATGGAATAGGACTGCATTATTATAAGTTCTATACCAGCTGTTCCCCTAAAGTTTCTGTAAAATACTTCCCTTAATAATCTTTCACAGAGGGGGCTGGCGAGTCCAGGCCTCACAGCTCAGAGGGTGTTCTTGTTTACATTCCTGCTGAGCGCTTCATGCACAGATGGAATTCGAGCCCTAAGGAGGAGTAACTGTCCAAGCCACCATGTATCATGTATACATTAAATTTAGACTGAAACAAAGCTGGCAGCTTGATCACAATCTTGTTTATATGGTCAATAAGTGAAATGTATTTGATCGACGGGTAAATAAAGATGATTAAAAGCTCAGCAGTGATCGACACCTATATGCTCTAGCCAGAGGTCTGGATTTGCCGACCTGGTTTAATTCGATCTGCTTCACAGACCACGGTGGCTTACAAGTCAAGCTGATATTCACCCACCCAAATGCACACAGACAGACACAAGGACAACATTCACAACGGCATCAATTAACATCAAGATATTTATAGCATTTAGTGCGATGTGACGCTTTTAATTGCCTGTGTATTTTAGGCAATGGGCAATGTGCACAGTGATGTTACAGCTGGGGAGCAGGGCATTTGGGGGTTGGGGCTGGTTCCCCTCTGACACCTGCTATACCTTCCACCCCCACCTCAGCTCCACTGGCCCATGGCAAGGTGTAGCCCGACCGGCGAGACCCACAGCGCCTCCACCAGGTTGTACTGGCAGTAGCCCATCCCGAAGCCGAAGGCCACGTCCGTGACGTTGTGGCGCCCCAGCAGCACGCGGGAGAGGCCCACGGTGACGGCCCAGAGCAGCACAAGCACTCGCAGCGGCGCTGCTAGCACAAGGTGCGCCAGCAGGAAGCGGGCACACAGGGCGGCCCGTGTGGCGTGGCCCGACGGGAACGAGTAACGGTCCACCGAGAAGGTGGCGAACATGTCCATCCGGTTGTGGGAGGGCCGCCGCCGGCGCACGATGGCCTTCACCACAGCAACCAGGACCAGGTCCAGGATGAGCGCTGGGGGGGGGGGACACAAACCAATGGTCAGTGGGCTCACTGCTCGTCCGCACTGGCCCAGATGAGCCAGGGGGCCACGGAAGAGCCAGAACTTTCCAAAATACCATCAGATAGAAGGAATAAACCACCACTGCTATGGCAGGCTCATATCCTCAGCTTCAGCCCAGAAATACACACTGTTTTGCGTGTATTTCTATTTGCAGGGAAAAACATCACAGAAGAGTGTAAAGATGCAGAAATCATACTGACTGCTTATTACAAGGTATACGACCAGAATAAAAACAAAGCCCTTAATTACGAGAATAACGATGTCACAAGATTCATGGAAAATAATTCCCGTCATAGATATAAAAAGGAAGGCATGGAGAAAAGAAGACATATGGGGGTGGGCAGACACTGGATCCCATGGGGGAAATCAGCAGTGCACATGCTAACAGCCAACAGACACAGCTGGGTAGAAGCAAAAAAGATCGGGCTTCGTAATGGGTGGCATAACTTAAAGCAGGGGTGCCCAACTCTGTGTAGCTTAGTTCTTTCCCTGTTCCACCATAAATGATTCAGCTCAAGAGCTGTGTGGTAATTAGCTGAATCAGGTGTGTTAAATGACGGGAAACCCAAAAATGTGCAGGGCTCTGGCCCCCCAGGATTGGAGTTGGGCACCCCGGCCTTAAAGGGAAACCAGTGAAAATAAATAAAAGTGGAAGAGACACATACACTCTTAGCAACAAAAGAGTTGATTTACCCATGAGGAGGTTAAGCATGACCTCCTGGCCTGCGGCACTGTCACTCTTGTACAGGCAGTACAGCACACCTGCTAGCCAGGGTATACCGTGGCCGGAGATCTCGATCAGCTTCATCAGCGGCCGGATGCTGCCCCACGACGAGTCTTCGCAGGCGCAAACCCCGAGGCGCTTTGACAGCCATAAGTCAATAGCGAGCAGTGAGCTGATCGCGATCCCGATAAATGACGGGTTAAGTCGCATACAGTCCTCCTCCGGCAGCTGCTGGGCGCCAGTAGCCGAAGACGACGGGGCACCCGAGAATCCCAAGGGCGATCCCGAGCCTCTGCGGCGCGTCGGGCTCTCTGAGGCTCGTAGGCGAGCCGTCGTCGGATCCGAGCCCTGGCGTTGAAGCAGCTGGGGCGACGGAGACCGGCTGAGTGACATGAACTCGTAGCGTCCGCCGCTGCTGATACCCGGGCTACCGCCACTGCGTCCCCCGTTACCCTTCGCTTTGGGGGAAGGCATTTTTAAAATATATCTTTACGTCAGCGACTGGCTGTCGTGACCACGCTTCAGTGTTAAATCTACTGTACTGTAGTCTAGTTAATGCTTTTCATTTCATTCTCCCATTTAAAAACAATAGCTCCCATACCACACATCAGTCACCGCACTGTCTGCCGCAAGGCTCACTCGTACACAACATCCGGATACAAAGGGTCCTGCGTCACTTCCGTAACACGGCCGGTGGTGAGCCACATGACCGGAAGAGAAACAAAGCAAAAGAGCGAGGGAAATCAGTGTTCTTAATGATTTTGTTCCGTTTAGCGAAAAGGTTCAGAGATTACTTCCTTTAGCCTAAAATTGTTAGCTAGAATTTTCTACAATAATGTTTCTGTTAATATTTTATAATGAGCATATTGACTCCTGTGACACAGAAGTCTTAATTATATTTGCTTTTCATTATTTTAGTAATAGCACAAGCCCCCCCCCAAATAGAACTAGTGACGCCCCTGTTTACACACACACACACACACACACACACAAACGGCGAGCAACTGTAGCACCCATGCAGAAGCAGATTCAGTGTGCATTGGAGCTACGTACACAGTTTACACTTTCAATTGCTAAGATACATTCTGTAGGGTGACCAGATAATCCATGTCAGGGAGGACACTCTGAGCTAGGACAGGAATTGTAAATTACCATTTCAATTAAACGGACCTGGATTTCACTTGAGCACTGAGTTCTTGCTGTGTGCTGATTGGTCAGTCTCCTATAATCATGCATGTGTCACTAATGTTAATGTGAAACAGCTGGATGAGTCTTTCAGTCAAGGAAATAAACCAGTCAAAGCACAAGAAGAGCTGAACTAATTAGCCGAGCACAGGAGCCTTTCAATTTGAAAGTAGTTTGTAAAACCTGAAGTAGCTCAAAGTGTCCTTCCTGACATGGATTATCTGGTCACCCTACATTCTGCAAAATTGAAGTCACTCTCTCAAAACTCTTCACACTGTCTAGAATACCAACATGCAGCTTAACTAGAATTAGACTAGAATTTGACTATGTCATCACCACACAAGCAGTTAATAGAATGTCAGACATGCACTGTTACTTGTTTTACTTGACATATCTTTCATTTATAGTCGTTCACGCAACTTTCCAATGCTTAAAAATCTGCAATTTATGAAATACAAGTGGTAAAAACCTGTGGTATTCAAAAACTTTTCACTGGTAGTGTGTATATACACACACACACACACACATACACTTGCAGTTGGTCCACAGCTATAGTAGTAGTACTGTTATAATCCATCCTCTCCTCTGGATCCGGCAACAAGTTCTCATCTGCATCATATCTGATGCCCTCTCTAGCGATACATCTAGGGTGGTACCTCTTGGAAACACATGGAATCACCTGGAATGGATACCTGCTGTGTTTGGGTTCACTTTCATTTTATTTATTTTATATCCTGTCAGTTTTACAATATATTTTGGAAGTGCCTTGATAGTACTGTAGCAAATTGTAGTCATTAAGTTTTGAATGTATGATTAACAGTTTTGGGATCAATATGTAAGCATGTGCAAAAACATGCTTACAAAAACATTAAGATTTGATGGTGGTGGATTTTGAGTGAGAAAGGAATCCATGAATTTTGACGCATTTAGTCATTGATTGCATTTTGTATGAAAGCAATGAGAAATGATTCACAGTTTAGCCCACATAAAACTGATGTTATGGTAACTTTGAAGAGTTTTGAGAAAGTGACTTCAGTATTGCAGAATGTATCTTAGCAATTGAAAAAATGTAACTGGATGGAGTATTCTGTAAAACAACAATAAAGTGTATTCTCTGTTACGGGGACTGGTGTTGCAGCTCACTGCTATATGCGCACGCTCCTGCGTTGTCAAGTGAGCCAACTTCATACCTTCAAACACAACAGCCCTATCCCTGGTCACTCCAGTACTACAGGCTGCGGTGACAGCATACAACATTTAAAATAACAACTCTTCCTAAAAATGTAATAATTTAACGGGGGGGTGGTGGTGTCACAAATTACACAAAAAAATGTGGCCAACCTCATCCCACCCTGTCACACAACATCTTGTTACAGTTTCTGGTTTGAAGGACATTTCCTTGCCATTCTCAAGCATCGCCACTTTTTGGGATCCCGCACGTGCAAAAGAGAATAAAATAAATGAATGAAATGATGTGACCATATTGCTTCAGTGCTATTTTAATCCTGATCTAAATATATTTCATGTATCCAGGATGAACAACGCAACAGACTGCTGCAGGGCCTGAGAAGGGTGGCTGCAGCCGTATACATGATTGGCAGGCTTTCTCTCATTTGATGGGTGTGTCAGGGGTGTTACCCAATCAGCAGCGATGTGTATATAAACTCCGCCGAATTATTAAGGTGGTGGCCGCAATGGATCCTTGCCATAACTGCAACGCTTGCATTACACAATAGGATGTTGAAAACACCGCTGTTTCGGTTTAAAAAAAACGTTTAGCAACGTTTCATCGGGGCTGAACGCAGCCCGGATGAGTTTTTATCAGCTGGTTTCTATTGCCTTGCTACTGCTGCTAATTCTGCTGGACTCTTGCTGGATGTGTTTAGACTCCTCCAGAATTAACCAATTAATAACAGTTAACACATTCATGGCAGTTGTATTGCTCAGTTGGTTGCCCACTAACTGCTGTTGCTGGATAATGTTTTACTCTTTATTCAATTATAATTTGGTGATTGTATGGCATAAATAACTGTCTGGCCATCTATCTCCAGGGTTGGAGCATATCCCGTATTTACCTTCACACAGTGTGCAAAATAAAATTTATATCCCCCCTCCACCTGTGGCTATGACCTGCCACGTTTGTAAATGCAGATCTGATGCAATGACTGCTGCCTCCGGCTAGGGGGCCTCTGTGACCCAACTCATTGTCTATTTAATCTATCAGGTAAAATACACAGCAGCATAAAGACCCAGACAGGAACAGCGGTTACCCAAGAGCTGTCACTATTTGTGTATCCCACTTGCAAAATTGACAAAAAAATAAATCATTGATCCTTGATAGCCCATCCGGGCGGTAGGTGTGTCAGCGTGACGTGGCCAGCAGCACCGATATCACTTCCGGGTGTGGGTGCTTAGCTCTAAGCTGACAGTGCAGGCTGTGCTCTCTGTTCTGTTCTGTGATTGTTAGACGTTTCTTTTCCTGCCTACTGACAGTCTAGCTTCAGCCGCAAGGATGCCCGGGTTACTGCTGGGAGATGTTTTCCCGGACTTCGAGGCAGACAGCACCGTCGGGAGGATCAGCCTGCACGCCTTCCTTGGAAACTCGTGAGTGACGCGTGGGGCTGAGGAACCGTTTGCTGATGGACTTGTAGAGCGTGTTTTTTACTTCGTGCTCAGTTTGTCAGTATTTGAGTTTTTATATGTATATATGCACACGTGAAATCCTGCACTGAAATGTACCTGATGGCAGCTGTCGGACTTTGATACCACAAAGATGGTTTGTAGTACATCATATCTGCCTTGATAAGCTGACAGACAGCAGAAGCTGCTGCTTTTAAGGTTACTTGCATGACTTTGGGTTCTTTTGATTAAATCTTATTTAAACTAGGATTTGTAAAATTGTGTAAAATACTCAGAAAAATCAATTGCATTGTTAAATGGTTGGGTTTTAGTATCTACATTCATCTGAAGTTTGTTTTCTTGGCAGCTCAACAAAGTCGCCGTGGAAGTAATTTTAATTTATTTAATTGGAGTATGCAGCGGCTTTAATCAGCGGCTGTGTGCAATAAGCAAGGTGCCTCGCATGTCAATATGCAGATTATTTAGAGTGAGATTCAATCTGAAACTCAGGAAGTATTTTGCAGGGTCTGCTTTATTCTATGTGCGGTTAGTAAATCCCTATCTTTCATCAAGATTTGTTTTCTGAAACACTGACAGAATGACAAACTGCAAGTACGGAAATCACAAAAAGATTGCTGTAGTTTAAAAGTAGCCACATTTCTACACTCATTTTTAGCGTTTTCTTTTTGCCCAGCCGTTTCCTTTATCCATTTTGATGCGCAAACTAAAATTGACTTGCAAAAACACGCATTAATCCTACACATGACGTCACGTCAGAATGAAACGAACCTGTAATTGGTGGCTCGCGGAATTGAGAAATTCATCTAACAGGGAAAACGCTACCTTGGCTTTCTAGTGAGTGCCGTTGTTCTGACGAGTTGAGCTACCTATCGAGCCTTTTTGCGCATGTGCAGTTCCACCGTTTGAGGGTTAGGATTAGGTTTTGGGGGTTAGGGTAAGAGTTAGGTTTAGGGCTATCGATTAGCACTACGGTAGCCTAACTCGACAAAGTAGCTCAACTCGACAGAACACTGTTAAAAGAACAATATGCATTCGTGAATGGGACCTGGGCTTTTGGGGGGCATCTTCTTGATGCCTCCCAGGGGCATGGTGCCCTGGGCATGTACTCAGATGCTCATACGGTTAATCCAGGCCAGTTATGATTAAGTGCACTTTTTGTTATGGAATTCTTTTATAAGCTGCTTTATAAACGGTGCTATATTTCTTAATCATTGGGTGTATATCAGGGCATGTCTGGGTTCTCTCCATCTCCTGCACTATTGAGGGTTTCTATCCTCTGAACAGAATCATAGCAGTGATGATCATTTTTGCTTTTTACATTAAATCACTGTAGTGCTTTAACTCTGTATTTGAGAAACGGGCCTTCGGAGGAGAGAACCAATGTTTAGAAGTTTTGTACATGGAAAAGCCTAGACCATGGTGAATCTAGTGAGCATCGACCAGAAAATTGAGGTTCCCTACTAATTGCAACAGCATGAAACAGAGGTCATGTCATAAGAAACATCATCTCTTGTATATTAAAAATGGGTGACGGTTACAGACCAATGGGACCTGGGAAAAAAACAAAACTCTGAACTGATGGCTCAGATGTGCGAGTGAAAGCGATTGGGCCTGTTTGCTTGTCTGCTGGTGTAGTTTGTGAAAGGGCATTATCTCTCGCCTTCATTTTTGCAGAGCGAGACTCAGTCAAAAGATATTGTTATAAAGGTGATCACATGACCATCAGCAGAAAAACACATTTAAAAGAACCTTCCACGAATGAGACCAGCAAACTCTTAACATTGGGCCTTGTCCTATAGGTATTGCTTCTCTATAATCGCTTGCATTCTTGGTTTAAGTTAAGGTTTCATT